GTAGTAGTAGAGAGAGAGAGAGAGAGAGAGANGAGGGAGAGAGAGAGAGAGAGGGAGTGCATATGGGAAGAAGTTAAGTATGGTAATGTGGTAATAACATGTTGTATGTATGATTAGTTTGGTTACTAGACAATTAACTATTTAAGCACAATTTTTAATAAGATCAATATAGTGGATAAGTCTAGTAATAACCTGTATGTAAGTAGATTGAGTTAAGTATTAATGATGGTTATGGACTATTTATAAATTAGACTATTTAAAATATAAAGGCACTTTTGATAGACACACCTATATAAGTTTGCAAGTGAAGCTGCTACTTATGAGATGCGACTCATCTCTAGAGCACTATCGAAATTAGGACATAAGCATAAAGCCCATAATATGGCGATAGTTAAAGATACCAGAGATGCATAATATTTGTGAGTTATACTACCAATCTGTTGGATAACGTATGTGGTTCAAAGCTATAAATTACCATGGAACTTGATGTGACTTTGTAGTGTATGCTCAAAGTGATGATTCAAATCGAAAGATACTTTCATGATATGTAAATATTATATTGTTGTCTATTGTTTTTCAAACGATAAAAATTTATAACCGGAGAAAAAAAAAAGAAAAAACCAGAACTAGACATTTAATATTAAAAAAATAAAATAAAGAACTAGACATCTAACCATCCATCAGTCCGTAAAAGTGTTCACATCGTATTAGCGACACTATTGCCGTGAAAGCATCCATCTTCCCCCATTGCACTAGTCGTAAAGACTTATTTATTTGAGAGAAGAACCAAAGGCTCTAAGAGTAGGGTTTCATGTAACAAAGCAGAGTTAAATCAACTTACAGAATTACTAGGTAATTTTTTTTTATAGCCCTTTTATTTTCAGTTTTTTTTTTTTAACCCTAAGATAGAGTTTTCCAATGCATGGAAAGTTGGATAAATTACCAGTAAGATAGTATTATTTAATTAAAGTGAAGAGAAATCACGAATGAAATTATGGGATATGAGATCCATGACCTAGGTTTTTGTATTCGAGGAGAGTAGTTCACGGATATAAATTAGGGTTATTATTTTTTATAATGTAGAAAAATGATTCAAAGAGAAAAATGAATCAATTTATAAAAATGCCGGTATCTTTTCTTTACGTTTATAAAATATCTACTTTTCTTTAATCCTTAGATGCAATTTTTTACCAGTTGAATAAATTACCAGTTGTACTTATTATTCGTCATGGCCTACAGATTTTCCTTTTTACTATAAGATAGGTGTTATTTGATGGAAGCAAAGATGAATCATTTATGATATTATGAGATATAAAACCTACAACATAAGGTTTTTGTATTTGACACGGTAGTTCATAAAAGGCTTAAAACTGAATTTTCTAGGCCAAAAAACAAGTCCAGAGGAAAAAAAAAAAATGTTATTATGTGGTTCTTTTCTACTTTATTAGATAATTTACATATTGTCTTAGTTTATCTTAGAATTGTTGCAAATTTTATAGCATGAATCTTATTTTGTATCAACAGTTTTCAATAGTGTAAACTTTTAGATTTTACAGCATCAATGAGTCCGGCCAAAAACACAAGGCACGATGCCAAACCAAAAAATTTTAGCAGCAACTTTATTTTAGTCATGGTGGGTGACAGTTTGAAATTCAAAATGTGAAATAAAAGTCTAGCCATCCAGTTCAATTCAACCACAAGAAACATGAAATCCAATTCTCCCCATACTGGTTAATACAAAGAATCAGAGTTGACCTCAATTCAGGTTTCTCTTCAGATATGCATATAATTGTACATTGCCTCAATTTCCAGGTTAAATACACTTCGTCTAATTCTCTCTGGCGTAGTTCTAAATGCTTTATATTTTATGCATCTAATAATTCAGAATATGAACAACAACAACTCATCTGCAGATCAATGATCACTAACTTGCTAAATTACACATATCCTACCTGATTTGCATAAGTATCAGTTGATCATGCCAATACGACCATGTTTTGCGAGCTAATTATGCCGAGATATTTACAACCCGTAGGCCACTACAGATGCCCCCCCAATGACACTGATTATTGCTACCATCATAAACAACATTGTTTGGCAAACCCTTTGATTGGCCATACTAGAGAAATATGATTGGAGCTTCTCTGATACATGTATGGTACATAAACCCCAAAATCTTCAAATAATGAGGGTAGGGCCCCTGTACGTTCCTCTCTGAACCACAAAACTATCAGGGGGCTGATACTCTTCTAACCAGGTCAGCTCAGACATCTTTATTCCAGTTTTCTGAACCAAAGCTACTGTAGAGATTGAATCGAGTCAGAACTAGTAAAGGAAAACTGAAGCGAAAAATGAATATGTACAACCACGTGTGTATGTGTGTATTTAGAGAGAGAGAGAGAGAGAGGAGGAGAGAGAGAGTCTCACTACAACTATAAGAAAGAAAAAAGAAAAGAAAAAGAAAAAACATGTAATTAAAAACAACACACATGATGCACATGCACACGCACACGCACACACAGCACACTTGAGCATACGTGCACACACACAAAATAAATAAATAAAAAGGAAAAAATATGTTGTAATTAGAAACAACACACATGATGCACATGCACACAGCATATACGCATGCGCGCATGCACAAAGCGAGAGAGAGAGAGAGAGAGAGAGAGAGAGCGATGGGCACCATAATTACCAGGAAGATTCCTACTTGGTGAGACTCGGAAATAAGAGCAGTGCCGCCCATCTGGGGTTGAATAAGGGGGAGATAGAACATCAAGAATAGCACAGGGTGTTATGGCCTTGAAAGTGTGGATGTTCCCACCACTCGTTGGAAAGAGAACAGTGGTGCCACCGGATGCACTCATCTCGCAATCTCGGACAAGCTTCGCAGGTTTTGCTGCAAATTCCCACAACCCATTAAACTTAGTAATGCATCATCTTTTGAAGTTTGCAAACAAGTAAAAGAAATGAGAAAGCCATTGTGCATGAACCTAACTTCACTGGAAACATGGAGTTCAAACAGTGATTGTTCAGGATATCTGGAATTAGCTCAGTTGTTTCAAAAGAAAATGTGCTTTATCATGCTCATCTTCACTTTAAATTAAAAGCAATCAAAACAGGAATCCTTTCACAAAAAATTCAAAATCAAAAGCAATACATGCACAATATTTACTATGCCATGCAGTCTATGTACTCCACTGACAAAATGGGTCACTGAAATGAAGGAGTTCAATGATGAAGATCAAAGTAGTTTTGGTTGAACAGATGATTCCTGTCATCCACAATGATTATTTGAGCCAAGAAATAATTACTTAAAAGTTTCAATGTGTTAGAAAAAATAACCCTGTATAAGAACAAATAGCACATGACAGAATAACTCATTAGCCAATAACAGAATTACAGCCCTTTGATTCCACCCCATGAAACTAGAGTGCAACTTCCAAAAAGCAATAATTTGCATGTCAACTTCTCTAAGGCTTATCTATTCCATGTTCATCCAATTAGAGGCTCAAGTCAATCTATAATGGAAGCCAAGAAATTGCAGGACTGATAATGGAGGTCAAAAACTTGCAGAACTGATAAACGGAATATTCTCAAGAGGGCAAAGTTGATTGACTGAATCTAGGAATCTCCAAAATTATGTCTAAGCCATCTCCGACCCTCAATGCTTCACTTAAGGAAATACCAAATTTGTAAGATAGGATCTGAAGTATGTCTATATATGCCATGTGCCACTCACATGGCAGTGCTATACTCACAATTACAGCGCTACACGCTTTATACTCTTAAGTAAACATCTCAAAATATAATGTAATTGAAATACATGTCCTATAAGAGTGACATTGAAGAGCCACCCTAGCCAGATATAGAGATCCCTCATGCACATTTTCTCATATGCTATCAAAACCACCAACCAGGATAGGGCTTCCATAACAGATCTTATACCTCGCTTGATACCCTGAACGACTACACCAGCTGAACATCCCAATTCCTGAGCAATCCTGCTCCAATTACCTCAGGACCAAAGCGAAAATTGCCAACCAAAAGAATATAATGATTATAAAACCTACTCCCGGATTTTATCAAATCAACTATGCATTGCTCAGAGAATATACTGGTTATATGATTTGATATCCAAATCTAAAAACCTCAGTTCAAGTCAAATGACATATTCAGCAAGGTAAATCAAGTGTGAGAGGAAGCCCAGGCATAAAAGGCCGAACTTCATAGCTGTTAATCTATTAAATAAATCGAAAAGTTTAAATCTAAGTACTCTCTTGCAACTCCACATTTTGAAGCCCAACACAAATACTTCAACATAATACGATAAAGTAAAAAGTCATTTTAAATTTGGGCCAATCTACTAAATGCAAAGCAAACAGAAAAAGAAGCCATATACACTATAACTCATTATCTAACTCAAATGATCAAAATAATACTCAACAGATATATGTTTGGAGATAAGAAAACCACACCATTTGATGCATTGATGGCCTCTGGTACATCCAACCAATCATAAGACTTCGCATGTAGTGTACCATAAAGAAGCTTGCTTAAGACTGTCATCCCAGGATGATTATGTAGGGGTATAATCGAAGAAGGTGGCATGCAAAATATTCCAATCTGCAAAAAGAAATCATCATACAGAATCCGTCAACAATTTTGCGAACAGCACCAAGTTCAAAGAATTTAAGTGTATTCATCATGACTCATTAGTGGTAAAATGTCAGATAGGCATTAACAAACTCCTAACTTTAGCAAAACTAAAAGTTTCAAACAATGCTTGCTACCAAAAGTGCCTTTAATAATAGAACACCTTGGGAAACCAACTAAGAGAATAAATGGAACAAGACTGGGAAAACGTACCGAAAAGCTATCACACTCGTGTAAATGCAGGTAGGTGATTGGAGGTGGATAGTGGTGTCTTCCATTTCGTCCTTTCTTTCCATTAACACCATATGATGAAGGTTTCCATGCTCTTGCTAATTGTGCCTCCTGTTGGAGGCCCATATCAGAAGGATTCATGTCATCTGGAATAGTACAAAAGTTAAAAACAATGTGTTTTCACTGAATGGAAGGCTAAAGAGAACTGCAGCATAAAAGGAAAGTCAAAAGAAAGCAAATATTATAGAGACGTAATCCATCCCACTACCAAAGAACACATGGTACTACAAAAAAAAGAAGAGAAGTGTATGACCACGACGGGGCACTGTGCATACTGTTATTTGAATATTGCAACTCTATCTCTTTTGATAGTATTTGAACCTCGCAAGACTTGATATGAAGGAAGCTAAAGCTTCTGTCGCTCAATCAAAGAACCCGGTACGGGGGATGGAAGAAACCACCTACTAAGACCATGAGGATGAAGGAGCCAGGAACAGAACATCACGTCAAGGTGGCCGGACAGAGGAGCATTCAAGGCGAGGATGGACTGGAGATGGATAAAACCCCAAGAAATGTGGCCAGTAAAGGTGGGAAGGCATGGGAAATGACCAAACTATAGGTCTGCAAACTTTGAAGGAAGGGAGGGGTCAGTTCAAAACCTCTTATGTCAAAGAGAGAGGTTTGGCCATGAGAGATGACAATTGTCATAGACAAGAGCACCACAAGAAGCAAGTTGGCAATGCTGAATGCATGCTTGGTGGGGAGGTTGAATCCACCTGCTGACGAGATTAATACGATAGATAACTCGGATACTCAAAGATGGAGGTCAGAAATAATCACGTGGTTAAGGTTACTATTTTTCTATTATTTGTAGTCTGTGATGGAAGCGAAGAGGGTGCTCAGACATGGAGCTACAGTGCTACATATGGATTTTCTTACTCCGAAAAATTGGCATCTGGTCTCTAGGTTTATGGTAGGAAGTACCACAAAGTCTGGGCAAGCCTCAATGGCATTCCAATCACCAGGTGGACAGTTGAGGTTCAAGGAGAATGGTAACCTTATGGTGGCATCAATGGATTTTGGTTTACAGTGACCACCATGAAGTTGTGAGGATCTGCATAGGATTGAATTATATGACCGCCAATCTAGAAGCAATACCGTATCCACTAATGAATGGGAGTTTCTTGATAAGTTAAGAACAAATAATCCCGGTAGTCTAGATAATGGGGTGCTGGTGGATGATATGGTGAGGAACTCTCTGAGAAGGGAGGAGATACAGTAAAATTCGCAATGGTAGAATGAAGGTTTCAACAATCAAAAAATAAAATGGGGAAAAGAAGGTTTCTGCCTCATGACAGGCGGACAGAAGCTGGCTAGTTGTTAGAGGTCAGACAAGGGTCCCTAGCAATGGCAGGGCGCTAACATGGGAGATTGATATCAAATAGGCCATTGAAAGATGCGATGGCATGCTACAGAGACCTGTTATGCCCTTGTTAGAAGTGGAAGATCTCAGGCTGTGAATCTAAGTCCAATTGAATTCCAATAAAGTTTCACTGGCTAATAAGAGTATCAGAGCTTCAGCCTCAAAGTAGGCACCAAGAAATGGAAAAATGCTAACATATATCCACATATATCTCGAGAGTAATACATTCAAAATTAACTCCATGTTTCCTAAACATTACTGAAGAGGAAGTGACCATATCAGCACGAGTCTACCAAGCATATCAAATTGATTTGTGCACTCATAATAAATATCAGAAACATTACTTGAAACAAGGTTATATTTGCTATCACCAAGTGGAGGGGCATCAGGTTGAAAACAAATGCCAAGCCCAAAACTCAGGAATGTCAATGACAGAGAGAAAGTAAGAGTGCTACTACTCGTTCTAGGACTACCATTAATTTCCTTTCTGCATAATAGCACAAGCTTAGACAAGACAATAAAGTAATTCAATACTGGTAATAAAAATGAATCAAGCCACCTATGTTATTAAAAGTGGACTGAATACCTAACTAGCAAGGAAGAAGAAATGACAAGGAAGAGTAATACAAGCAAAATCAAAATCCCCAGTCTTTGATTCAATCAGAACTTTGAATAACTTGGTGTTTGTGTTACCCATATAGTTTTATTTTAAAGAAAAACAACAGTTTGGACCAGGTTTTGGCTAGCCATTCAAAGAGTTGATTGATTTGAGGCGTTATCCAGTTTTGCCCCCAGATGGAAAATCAGTTTATTCGGTTCTTGAGCTAAATACTAATAAAAACCCATAACACAACAAAACATCATAAATGAGACAAGTGCGACATAAAAAAGAAACAAGGTTCACACCTAGAATAGCATGGACATTGTTAAGAGCTTCTGCTGAAACTGGTCCATTTGAAGTAAAGGATACTTTGCAAGCATCATAAAGCCTTTGTACGGCTGGCATGGTGAATTAAAGAAAACCAATTTAACCAATAGATAATGTACAGAAGTTATAGAACTTCTAATAATTGTTTCTTCACCAGTTGTGTAAGAAATACATTAGAGCCATTGGCTACTTCCCGTGTCACCCCACCAAATCACAGAGAGTATGAGCTCCACTTTTCAGAACCTTGCTCCAGATCTCATTGATGAGATTTTAATTGCCGGCTATGTAAGGTTTGTTTTTCTATAAAATAATAGAGCACCAGGAACTATTCAACATTGTTGTTGTCTTTAATTCAATAATTCGACCATGAATGAAGAAGGAAGCTCCCGTTCACCTAACCCTAATATCTGTTCAGATCACAAAAAAGAACAATCGTTCTTATAAGGTAAGTTGTTATTATACAGTGTAGAGATTTGCAAGATAACTCTCTTCAAATGCAAAATATGAGTTCAAGTGAGCATGCATATGAATTCTTACATTTTCAAGACCAAATTAAAGAGGAGAGAATGCAATATTTCCAGAAACATTTTACACACATATTACCAAGGATCTCCAACATGCATTCCAGATGTAAATGCATACAGCATGGACATGGTGGGCTGTAAAACAATCATACTGGTTAAACATTCGACCAACAAACCCATTTGTGAAGGTTCAAGATAACATGGTGGTTAAACTTTATACCGAAACATAGCATACTATTTTAGAGCAAGGTGTGTTACTGATTGGAAACATAGCATACCATTTTAAAGCAAGGTGTGTTACTGATTTCCTTTTAAAAAATGAAAGGCAAGCATTAAGAAAAATACAGGAGATGGAGATATCAAAAGTAACCATAGCACTCAAAAAGATAGTCAATCTATTACTATCATAGTCCAAACAATGCATTACAAGGAATACACAATCCAAACCCATAACTCAGTAAGCAACTAAAAACGATGGAAGGATGTAACCAAAATGTACAATCCAAGGACGGAGTGCTTATGTCCTTAACTACAAGTTAATTTTGGCTCAACTTGCCATCTTTTCTGCAGATTGCAGCTTCACAATAGTTCATTAATGTAAATTTTCTGATCCTAAACATATTTTCCCCCAAATCATGACCCATACCTTGCGCCCTATCTCTCTCCACTAGCTTGCCATTCCAATTTTCTCCATATTTTGGATGACATTCATTTTTCCCTCTTTTTTTTGCGTTTATTTTACTTTCCACCATATGATCCACCAACAAGAAAATATGGGTAAAACTCAAATGTTTAACCAAGGGCTGGGCGAAAATTCAGCTACCCAAAGTGAATTGGGTAATAAGTGTTCCCTCTCTTCTATCTCTATCATACCAGCTTTTCTATACAAAAACCAGTGAAATTGGCCATAAAAATTCACGAAACCCTTAAGAATCGACTGTTCCAACCGAATACTTTCCATGACCAAAAGTTTTTACCCATAAAACTTGAAACTCTTATTTTTCTAATATTTTATTATATTCCCTTTTCCATAGATTTTCTTTTTTCTCCTTTTCCTTAATTTTATGAATAATTTGTTTTAATTCATTTTTTGACTTATATTTAAGGCACGAATGGACCAGATGGACTGTTGGTCGGATCGGTTTTTATAGGACCAGCCCCTGCACCAGTTTGGGCTCTGGTCAGGACCTGTTAACACTGGATTATAGAACCTAAGAATGAAAAGAACTGCTCCATGACATCCAAAAAAAAAAACTGCTTAACCTTTCAAAAGGGTGCCTGTTTGATTCAATTGCCAAAACTCCACTAAGATTGTTCCATACCTCACTAACTCATTTACAAACTTCATCATCCAATACACTACCAGTCTTGGTGGAAGCCCTAGACTTATGTACTTGTAAACAGACATTTAGTACATGGGAATGCTTGGAAGAGTGGATTGGATAAGTATCACTATATAGGGGATGAAAAGAAATTGTGCTTTTCAAGGTGCTGGCAATTTTTCACATCCATCCCCTATATCTGGAATCCCATCTAATATAACCCTCCCTCGTACAAAAGTCCCTTGATTTACATATAAAACCATCCAAAACTTCCCTCGACCTGAAAGCCAAAACTTAGCAGAGATCTCATAAAAGCTTCCCACCAATCCAATTGGTCTCAAATCTTCAATATCAATCACACCACACAGTTTAGGAACAATACGATAAATGTGGAGTGCAAGCAACCACTCAATCTCTCCATCAAGAAAAAGCTCCTATTCAATCAACTTTCTCATAAAAGTCTTCCATAAGAATGGAAGTACTGCTCCATAACATCCAAGAACGATATAATTAACCTTTCAGAAAGGTAACCATTCAATAAAAATGGTCGTACAATGCACTATAATCATTCTAGCCCTACAAACCTCTTTACAAACTTCCTCTTCCAATATGCCATCCATCCATTTTGGATCAACACGCCAAATAATTTTCCCAAAATAGAAAAGAATAGGTTGTTCTTGATTAGGGAGCATGCATATAAAATTACGATTAAGCCTTTTTGTTAATGTTTTGAGCAGGCACCCTGTATCCAACAGACCCAACGATCAAAGCCGAGATGGCCAATAGAAGTAAGGGGAATAACATAGTATTGTCTGATTCGTGGGGATAAGGAAAGGTGTCAAATATGGTTTACAAGGGTTGGTCTTCTTCTGTAGCTCCTAGTGTTCAATCTTTCAAGTAGTTGGTCTTTATTGACAAAGAGCTCACTAAGTATAACCTCTATTTTGTAGTTCACAATTTCCAAACTTTACTTCTTATATGAAGGTACAGAACTGTTGACTGCCTATTTTTGCACATCTCTTTAATCAGGCACATTAGGTCGTTCTTCTTCTATCTATTAGGGACCAACCCTCATCCCATGCTCTTCAGTTTCTTTGTCAAGGGCTTTGATTCCAGAGTCCAGCTCCAACAAAAACCAACATCTGTCTAGAACGTGGCCACTAACAATCTTTTGGGGTTTATAGCAGAAGTGAAATAGTCATATCTTTGACAGCCATCTCTCATTCATAGCAATGGTTGCAGAGAGGATCCATGATAGTCTCAACTCTCATTGCCAGGTATGTAACAGAGGTGTATCAGGGTTCTACACTATGCGATAGGCTAGCCATTGGTGGCCAGGGTTGTGGGTCCAAGAACTCCTACATCTTAGTTCCTCCTTGGAAGTCTCAAAGCATTGGAGAGAACCCTACACCTGGCAGGGTATTTTCTCAACCTTGCTTATTCGTATTCTAATTCTGAAGTAAGGAATAGGGATTTCATGGAAGCAATTAAAAAGTGTAATGTGAGGCTCAACCCCGACTCAAATGTTCAAGACAAAGTGTCTATGGAACTTGACTAGTATCGTCACTCTATGTTAACAAAGTGTCTATGGAACTTGACTAGTATCGTCACTCTATGTTAACACTTGGGATGGATTCTAACTCCTTCATGTTTAACTTGACTCTAATTTTCTAAATTCTAAATTTACTCATATACATACTCTATTTATTTTCATTTATTATAGTTTCATGGTGGGCCAAGTACGAACCAACTACGGACAAAGTGACCCCAACTTGCAAAGAATGGCACAGTGGATTTTGAGCTTGACTTGTGCATCATCGGGCTGGGAGCGACATTCGAGATGGTAAATTTTCCATTTACCCTCATCTCCATCACTCTACTGCACTAACTTTCTTTATATATTTTTTAAGTGACAAATGCTAATAGTGCAATGATGTACTATGAAACACATATATACAAAGAAGAGAAATAGACTTAAGCAAAAGAGATTGAACGACCTTGTTTCCATTCGGTATAATTAGGAGGTTGAAGGAGTGCCCATCCAGACTTGTTTCAAATTCAAGACCCTATAGTTGTGAATGATTTAGATCCAACAAGCGAATGGTTAGTCAAGCAGGATGTTGGGGATGAGCCTGTATTCGAGGGAGAGAGCTTGACAAGGACCCAAGTGCAAGAGGTGGCTGGTATGGCATCAAGCCCTATGAGAACTACTAGATCTCAAACCCAGAGTAAGGGGAAGGAATTGGCAAAGAAGAAGGGAAAGGGGAAGAAGGTGAAGGTGCATACGAAGGGGAGGAAGATGCATTTTACAGGAGACAAGGGAAGAAGGTCATTATGTGGAGGAGGAGGATGACTCTGATAATGATGGCCAAGCCATCATCATTATCATATTCAGGTGCACCTAATGCTGGCCTTGGACATGGACATCATCTTGCTAGTGATCATGAAAGTCAACCCTTTTTTTTTGAAACTCAACCTCATATTTGAGTTTATCATATTTGTGGGGTGAAGATGACTACATTTTCAAGTTTATGGCCTTTGATTGTCAAATGTGACTTTTTCTAATCAGGAATCTGTTGTGACTTTTCCTAGTTATAGCTAGTAATTTTCGTTCTTTTAATATTTCTTTTAAGTTTTAACTATTTTATTCACAATTTCAAGTCGTGTATGTTTGTGTTTGATCTGTAGGTCTGACTTCTGAATAATATATTATATACAAAATATATAAAATCGTATATATTAAACAAAAAAAAGTGGAATTCTATACACAAGAATAGGGGGGGTCAAAAAAAGTGGAATTCTATACACAAGAATAGGCCGCCCAGGTGTCTGAGCACCGGACTAGGCAGCTGCACCTGCCTTCTTGAACATTGCCACATGGTGCCGCCCTCCCCCTTTACAACTCACCAAAAAAGATATCTTTACTTGGCACAAATTCCTAGCAAAATCCCTATCAAATTCTTATTTCCTCACCAGTCCAAATTTCACATTCATCGACTTCTGAGGGCCACTCAGAGATCAAATCTCCATCGTCGATCTGTCAAGAACCCAAACCAAACACCACCTAGGATCCCAAAACACCCCCACATCTTGGAGTATTTCAACAGTGCCTTCAACCCATCCATCTCAAAGCATCTTGTACTACTGCTCTTGCAACCAAATCCCCAACCCATGGTTAATATTGCACCGATTTCTATCACTGGTACAGTCCATCCAGGCTCTAAAGAATACCTGGCACCCATAATATCATCATCTAGTAGGTAGACGTCGCAATTTATCCCCTCAACCTCAAAAAACAGCGAAATCCCCATCATTTATTTCAAAATTCAAATCCCTTGTGTCCATTGTAGATGTCAGGACTTGATGACCAAGAAGACAATGGAGATCAACCAGTCACCACCAATAACGCAATCAACAAAGAAGATGAGCCTGTAGTGCCTCAGGTGTTCATGGTCCCCAATCCCACCCATGCCCCCAGAGGGGGTTGTCCCAATCCCATGCACTTCCCAGCCTATTCTGGCCCCAAACCACAAGTGAATGGCCAGGATCATCTCGATGCCC